CAATGATGTCAGGTGGTATACTAAGGGTTAACTGCCACTTCCACTGAGCTGCTGTACAGCTGGTGAAATGTATCTGTCAACAGAACTATTACTGTCATCCCCAGATCAGCACAATATCCTTGACCCTGAAGGTCAATTGTGAGGCATTAGCTGTTACACAGAAAGAGTCAGGAATGGTGATGCAGGAATGGAGAACTTCCAAGGCCAGTGGAACATATAGAGGAAGAGGAACTGCCATCCCAAACCAATCAAGATGGGGACATCTGGGGTGGGATAAGCTAACATGTGTGGCTACCCATGGTGGAGCTGAGCTAACTCCTCTGCTTTCCGGAAACCCGTGGTTAAACTCTCTTGTGAAAAAATTCCATTGATGAGTTCAGTAATCTGTCCTTTGGAGTTCACTTTGCAGCTCACAGAACTGCTGTACAGTTTTTAGGATGTGGTTACTGGCTCCTGGGTTGGGACTGGCAGGAAGGGTTGTGTGTCAGAGCTGAAGTGTGTTTGCAGAATTCTGTGAGGGGTCCAGGCTGGAAAAGCAGGAGGCAGTCAGTGAGGGCTCATGTGACCTGGGAGAGCTGTGTGTGGGTCCTAAGACTGTCAGACAGAATTAAGGATTTTTTTTGCCTTTAACCACACAGAGGCTGAATTCCCTGGGTAAAATCCCGGACCTACAGAAGCCAACAGTAAAACTCATATTGACTTCACTGAAAGTCGAGGCTCAACTTCAGGTCTCCATTTACAGTTCAGTTACATCAGTAACTTCTGTCACAGTACAAATGCATGGGCTCCTGTTATTTCATGTTCTCTGAAGGGAAGAAAAATTTTAAAGCAGGGATTTATCAATAAGCAGTCTCACTAATAATGCATGGAACACTGAAATTCAGTATCACTCAGATTTCTGGCAACTCAAATCTGAGCTCTACTGAAGTATTCTGTAGTATGTTTTTTAGATGGGGGATTAGTTTTGGAATGGCTGTACTTCTCTGGCAGCTTTAGAGAGTAGGAATAAAAGAAGTGAGGACAAATGGGAGGAGGAGGGAAGAAGTTAAGAGTAGAAAGAAAGATGGAGAAAGGAAAGGAATAAACATCAGGTTCTGTGTTTCTCATGAACAGATATTACCATCCCTGGACAGACTGCACTATGCTCTTCAGCTGTGGAAGAAACCCTCAGCCATGCCCTCTGTTCTCTTCCCTCAGTAGTTTTCTCTTTTGTGGACACCTGTTTTAGCATTAAGGGTTGAATCATTTAAATGAGAAGCAAAGTTAGAGCCACATATTGAGCAGAAAGAGAACTCTGCCCACTTGCTTGTCTCTGTATTTTGAAAATCTCACAGCACTTGCACAGTTAGCACTCACAGCAGGTGGAAGATCACAGACTGGGAGCAGCTGTGCACAGCCTTGAACTTCAGGTTTTCACACAGCCATCCAGCCTTCCTTGCCCTACCCTCCTTTCCCTGCTTTTTATGCAGGAAAGCCTAACCCTGCAGTCTAGATTTCACCCCCACTCCTGCCTCGCTATCGAATTCCACTTGAGGAATTCTAGGCATGATAGTCTCAAGGGGCAAACAGGTCTCTTGTTCTCTGTCTCTGGGAATCCACCCTTATCTGCAGCAGGGGTGATATTTTTGAATTGTGTTTATTTGTTGACACCCTGGTGTGAAAGCGCTTCCCATCAACTGCATATTAATCTTGTCAGCAGTTTGTAAACATTTTCCTCCCTCTCTACTCTATCTAATTTATGACTTTTGGGTCCATCACTTGCTTCTATTCACACCTCTCATAATAATAGAAAAATAATCTTTTCTGATTTTTATGAGGGGACTCCAACCCTATGAAAAGGGTAAGAACCACAGCTACCTGTGACCTTAGAAAACATACAGTTAGAACAGATTGTGTTGAGACATTAGAAAAATGCACACAGACTTCTACATAGTGACCCATTACATATTAAAGCAGCCTCTGAAGGCCTTGAGGCTTTTGCCAGTAGCCAATTTTGCACTTCCAAAGTTCCATAGGCACTGCCGGAAACCACTGTTGCATTCTTTCTGTCCGTGAAGCTTCAAGCTCCACTGCTGCAACTCAACCCTGCATTCTCTATTCTTTCTTTCACCTCACTTTCATTTCCCAGGCATGTTATATAACAACCTTTACATGGTTTTTCCAGTCAAGTATGCTATTTAATACCTGAATCAAGGTTGCCGTATTGGTGAATGGACACTATTTGCTGATCTCTCTGTCTGAATAGCAACTGTGTTTAGGAACAAGATAAAGAATCTGTTGAGCCTGTTGTTTTGCTTATGCCATCTCAATATCAAGGCCTTATCTCAAGCAAAGTGTGATGCAATTGCCAGGCTATTAACATTGACAACTGTGGACCTCCAAGAAATGCATGATTCTTAAGCAGGTTCACTGTATCTTAAAAGGCCTGAGTGTATTCTTATAAGACTAAGCCACCCAAAATATAAGCCTAAACCAACTTTGTAAGGCCTACATTAAAGAATATTACCAAACCTATATCAACAATGAGCTCTGAATGTACAGAAGGTATCCAGATTGGTGATTTTTCAATATATAATGTTTATAAGCTGCCATGCCCTTCTCCAGTTTTATTCTCATCTAATCATCTGTAAAACACAAACATTTTAATAGTCATCATAATCAATGGGGCCACCATTAAATGTCAAAGACAAGTTACCCAAAACATAAAGAGACTTTCCCTTTGCCCAAGGAACAGAAGATTACATGCTGAACTTATGTTTTATATCTACAGATTTAAATGGGTAGCTAGTGTGGCATTCTGCTGTTTTGCTGGAGCATCTAAAAATATCTCTGTAGTAGCAGGCTTTGTGGTCCTACAACTTTAAGAAAATACAGGCTACGTGACAAGCAGCTTGCAGGTGTGACAGGGGGAAGTTAGGAGCCACATTACCTAAAGGAGCTGGGCTACCAGGATATAAGCCCAGGGCTTGAACTAAGCAGGTATTCTAGCCCTGAAAGCTGTGGAAGGAAGAGCTACTGAGCAGTAGGGCTGCAGTAATGTTCCTGATTAACACCTGAGCTGGGGTAAGCAAAACCAGTGGTTTAGGGATTGAGACTGTAGGAGCAGTGGAGGTCTCAACTGGCCTGAGAGTGTGGCCAGAGCCTGTGGGATAGGAGCTAAGGCTCAGGAACAGGGCTACACTTGTAACCCAGGAGGGGTGAGAACCAGGGCCAGAGGGCCTGTAGCCTAGCAGGGGCAGAGAGAGATCCATGCTGGCTGCAGGAGAAGAAGCAGGACCAGGGAGCCTGGAGGTCTTAATTGGCCAAGGAGCAGGGCCAGGGACCAGGAATAAGCCTCAAAGCCTGAAGATGGCCACAGCTGTCTCCAGCTGTGGCCAAGGAGCCCAGAGGTCTCAACTGGCATAAGAGCAGGGCCAGGGCTCTGGCAGAAGGGTTAAAAGCCAAGGAAAACCACAGCCAAAGACTGAAAGGCACAGGGACCCACAGCCCAGAGGAGGGCTGAGACAGGGCCAGGGACCAGTGTCTCTGAGAGATGGAAACAGGTTCAGGGACCCAGGGCTGTGCCCAGGACTAAACAAGATGGGAACAGTGCCTGGGTGTGGGTGAAAGGCCTGAGCCCAGGAGGGGCAGAGGATGCAGACCTGAGCCAGTGAATGATCAGTAACATTTGCAAGGCATAAGCCTAGCTAGAAGGGGAGATGAGGATGCCACATAATTAGCCATTAAGGCAATGAGTAGGGGCACCTGTACTCATAAGCATGCAATCTAGCTTGGAGAGCCCTAGGATAGCCTCCCTTTTTAAAAAACTATTTACAGCAAGCCATGGCAGGTGAGTTGAGTTGAAGGGGAGATGGCCCAAAGAAAGCAGAGGTGACAAGGGCTCAGGTGGCTCTAGGGGCTTTGCAGCCACCCTCGGGGAGGGCCCCTATTATAGTCCCAGACAGAAATTCTGTCAGGATCCCTGACATTCAAACCTGGACCCTTAGCACCTGTAGATAGAAGCCCAGGCTGCAACACCACCAGGTAGTTAGCCAAATGCCAGCCCCAGCTCTGCCTCGGCCCTCCCATAAAGTTCTTAGTGAAGGACTAGGTGACTTGATTATACCAGTGGGAACCACAAATCTCTGACCAGAGGGCTATAACACCCTCCCACTTTCTGCTGCTGCTGCAGCCATTGCTACCTCAGTCTTTCCTGCTTGGTCTGGTCAAACTTATTCCTGGCTTGGACTTGCTGGCCTTAATCAACTGCTTTGTCCTGATGGCAACTTCATCTTGATCCTCAGCTTGATATTCTGGAACTTGGACTGTTAACTGGCTTTGACCTCAGCTGTTTGCAATGTGCAGCGCTGGCCAGAGTTCACTGCATACTTTTCTACTTAAATTTACACATGTAAACTACACTTACATGCATATAAAATATGGTTAAACAGATATTTACCTGAGGCTCTATCTGCTTCTTTCTAAACCTGAGGAAGGGTCTGTTGTGCCCAGAAGCTGATCTAGCATCTGTTTCAACTATAAAGCTGGTCCACTAAAAGAGTTTGCCAAACAAATCTTGCTTCTTGAATGTCCCTGTGTAAGAAGAAAAGAGGTCATCTGCAGAGCGCGATGCACAGAAGCCATTCTATTTTTTGGTTGACACCCAGACTGCCATCACCACTCTAGCCTGTGCACTTTTTCTTAAGAACATTTGGCCCCTGCCACATCTTACACTTAAGACTTGATTAACCAATTAATCAATTAATGGTGTGATAAAAGAAGAAATAAGCCACAAAGTTATTCCACACAACATGTGTAATAACTTTCTGGCTAGATTTCTATCATGCCATTAATTGATACCCCTGTGGCTGGGAGTCCTGTCAACTGACAGAGGCTCTCAGCTGGGGGGATGGGGAGGAGAGGAGGAGCATACTATGTACCCCTGAACCTGGGAACCTGAAGCTGATAGGGCTCCCAGTGGGAGTACATACCCACATAGCTGGGACCCCACAGCTGATCCAGGCTCCCAGCCCTGAGGATGAACTATGGCCCCCTATGTCTGGGACTCCCATCAGCTGATCTGGACTACCAGCTGTGAGGAGCCTGCAGCTGATCCAGATTCCCAGCCACGGGAACTGGCTACTTGCTGATGCAGGGGGAAACTGGGATCATGCTAGTGTGTAAATTGTGGGAGATATTGTGCATTAAAGCTCATGTGTAAATGCATCCTTAGATATTTCAGGGTCTAATTTATATGATTCCATAACAGGTCCTCCTTTTGCATAGATTTCACATTTCCTTTACTAGCACTACTTTCCTCTTTACTGATTCAGACACACCCTTCTCTCCTTACCTCTGTGAGCTCATGTTATCAACATTGCATGTCAGCTGGAGCGCAGCCTTTTATTATATATGTCAGCACTGTTCTGGCTAGGATTAAAAAGGATTTGTGCAGCACGCAGCTACAGAGATTTCTCTTATTTATGTTAATGAGCCCTGAGTAGACAATACTGCCAAAGCCCAGAAAGTGTAAAATTGATGACATAATTATGGTGCAATCTACAGGAATATTACAGGGGCATTAGGACATTATCAACAAATCAGGTTCTAAGTATTGTTCTCCTGAACTGGGAGTGTTTTCAATTAATTTGTAATTAAATAAGGGAAGCAATTTAGTGAACTCAGAGAGCTATTCCAGCAAAAAGTTTATCTCATCAGTCTGAACCTCACATTCCTCCAGAACAGGATCATTGTTTAGATTTTGGACATGATATATGATCCAACCTATAGGAGTAATTTAATGAAACATCAATATTTTTCTTCTATTAACCCATAGTGTCATGCTGAATGGAGAAAACCATCTCTGCCTCTTTTGCAGGCCCCATCATCTCCCAAATTCTCGCTCTCTCTGAGCAGTTGGACAGGTGTTACTAGAAGACAAGCCTGTGGCTTTCAAACATAGAAAAAATCAGAAGTTTTCTAAAAAATTCTCAGAAGAATATGGAAGATGAACTAGGGGAGAGGAGAGTCAGAAAAAGCAAGAAAGAGATCAGAAAAGAGGAAGGGCTACTTTTGTAATGGAACAAAAAAAGAGTCGAACCTAGAGGAAATTCCAGGCCATGAAAATAAAATTTGTTCAAAATGACACAAAACATTTTTCAGACAGATCCTAAGCATGAGGTGGTTTGAAAGTGTTTGTAAGGAGATTAATTTTTTTTTGTGCACGAAGATCTCACATAGGTAAAGTTTGGAAATGCACATATACAAGGCTTAGGACAACTATGAGGCATATGCATAAGAGTACATATGTATGAAGAGGCTTCCTTCTAAAAATCTGCCTCTGTTACAGGATTCTTCTCTCTCTCATTGCTTATCCAATCATTGCACTCAGGAGTAGGTAGAATACAATGTGGACAAGGAAAGTAAGGTGATGCGCATGAGGACACAGGAGGAAGAAGGGCATGATGAGAAAATTGTAGTGCAAATGAAGAGCAAGTGAAGAAAGACAGATGGTAGGAGATTGTAAAGAGGTGCAGAAAGGCCAGAATTGAAGAAGAAATATAAAGGATATTAGGAGATGGGGGAGAGGGGGAACTAATATGGGAGGGGACTAGATAACCAAATAGTGGGGCGGGGAATGACATGTTTTAACCAAGCTGTGAAAGCTTTTGTGACTGCTGTACATTAGAGCTATTGTATGAAAACTATGGGCAATAGAAGCAATGTACTCAGGGTCACCAGATGTCTGGATCTAATCATATTCACTTCAGTTTCAGAAAAAGGGAAATGTATGGTGATTACAGTTACCTGGATGGTTTTGCAACATGTTTGAAAGACTATTGTGCATGGACTAAAATTCGCATTGCTGCTTAGAATCTACTACAACCAGAAGTATGCTCCTAATAACAGTATAAAAGAACCAACAGCTTTACTCTCCTTCACTGCCACCCTCAAAATAAGATATCATTTTTATTTCCTTATAAATATTTGAGCTGAAATTTTCCAGACTGCAAGTTTTGGAATATTTCAGCTAAAATGGTCCATCTACTTCAGAAAACAAGATTAGGGAAATTTCATTTTGCTCATGTTAAAAAAATTCTGATGATTCTTCCTTTGATAGAATCTAGAGGCACCATGTGTTGGAACAAGTGCTTGAGACTTGGCTTTTGTTTCAGGTACATTATCTCAGTGAAGATCACCAAATTTTGGCCAAGTCAGTGGCATATGCCTCTGAAAAATCCCTTGCTGAGTAAACAACTGGGAACTCTGCAGCTAAATTTTCTGAAGACTATGTACACCGAGTATGCCACAGCACCAGGCCACAAGGGTCAATCAGAACTTTTCCTCATTGGTGTTCCTGGCTCCTAAAGTGCAGGGAGGCACTGGTCCTGAGAGCAGGGGGACTGCCTCAGGGGCTTTGAGTGACCTCCAGCTAGTTCCCAGGGAAAAGGGAGGGGAAGGAGGAGGACAAGAAGGAAATGGGTAAAAGGGATCAAGACTTAAATGGGATGAAGAGTCTGAAGGTATTTGGGATTGAGAGGGAGCCTGCAGGGGCAGTGGAGGGAGAGGAACGGAGTAGAGATTTAGTGGGACAGGGGAGATAAAGAGATTGAAAAAGAATTTGGAGGGTAGTTGTGACTAGGATTTGTGAAAGGTACACAAGGACTGCTGGGCAAAGAGACTAGGAAAAAGATGAGAAGGCTAAGTGGGAACTGTCACTGGGACAAACAGGTAAGACTAGGACAAAAAAAGAAAAAAACTGACAAGCACAAAAGAAGGGAACAGAGCAAATGGGTCAAGCAAGAGAATCTGTAATCTCTTGAACACATATCCATAGAACAGCTGGAATAATATCTACTGTTCCTAAATCTCACCATGCCTCTGCTATCATCAGATATCTGTGAAACCATTGGTATAATGTCTCCTCATCTAGGGCTGGCCTTCACAGAGGGTAACAACCTGGTGCTGTTATCTGTTACTTCTAGTCATTCAAGAGGCAGAGGTATGGGCTGGAGATCTAAACCTTTCAGCCCTGCAGCTCCCAGCCCTAGGAAACTACACACAAAGAACAACATTCAGAGATCATTATTTAGGTTGGAACATCAAGTAGTCAAAAGATAGAAAGTGCATACCAAGGACCAGGGCTAATATTGCTATGATAAATTTAACTCTGACTTTCCTAACATTTGTGTGGTGTCATACTACCATGATTAGTTTTTTTGCATGTAACTTTGAGCTTGGAGGTCAGTTTTATTATTTTCTAGTCCTGAGCCAGTGCATAGAGACCCCCAAGCCCAAAGTTACAAAGGAAAATCTGCAGTGATGCTCTTTGGGACTTTTCCCCTTTCTGTATTGCCTCATGGACTATGGAGAAGGCAGTTTTTTTCAGAAGTTCCTCACGGTAGTGTGCACCAATCTTTTGCCACCCCGTAACTCCACATGTTCTAGTCATCCCAGCGCTTGCTCTTAAAGCAGCAGCAGTGCAGTGTCTGTGCACAGGTTGCTGCTACAAAAGTAATGCTGTGGGGTTTCTCTTGTTGCCAGGTGCAGACTCTGCAGGGGTAGGGATGATTTTAGAGCCCCTTAAGTCAGTCCTCAGGGCTAGTGTCCCTTTCACCCACCCCTTAGTTGTGTTACTAAGGATAGATATAATTATACGCTATACCCAACAGAAGGGACTATATGTGACTTTACAGGCATTTTCCATTTTTAGATTCTGCAATTTATAAAGCCAGAAGGAACACCCTGATCATCTAATCTGACCTCCTACTTAGCACAAGTCATGGGATTGACAGCCTGCATACCTTTCAGAGGAAAACATCCAATTTTGATTTAAAGATTATCAGATACAGAGAATACAGCATACCCCTTGGTAAATTGCTCCCATCATCTAACACCATCATTGTTGAAAACATGTGCCTTCTGTGTCCTGCAATCAGGGCTCATGGTAGAAACATGTGCCTTCTGCCTCCTGTAAATGTGTTTCCCTTCTGATTCCAGCCATTGTGTCTGTTTACATTTGCTCCATGTAAATGCCCTAATTCTAAGACTGCCTTACCCTTAATGACAAGACTGAATAAATGTAGTAGTCCTAACAGCATACCCATACCATAGAATGTGCCTTCAATTCTGGAACAAGCCTGTGGAGAGCAAGAGAGCAGAGTGCTGCTGAGAGCATACAGGTCTGTTAAATCTCACAGGGAAATTCTTCTAAAAAGAGAGAAACAACCACATACAAAATACTGAAAAATCCTCAGCCCCGGTAGCATTATACAACATTGGTTGCTTGTAAATAGGTCTTTCTCATTTTCATCAAGGCAACTTAATTAAGAAGTGCAGAGCATGTGCAGTCAGTCACCCCAGATAGAAAAATCTACATTGGGTCTTTGCTCTAATGTGAATTTCCTGACATGACAGATGGGGATTGAGTGTCTGTTTATGCCAGGAGGAGTTTGCTAACATTTTTCTTCTAATTACTAATTATACCAATGAAAGGAGCTTTACAGATGGAGTCCTGGAATTGTGAAACCTGATCATCAGAGATTTGCAGCTAAGATGGAAGATTGATGTGTGACATCAAACAGCTGACAGGGAGGCTAGAGCAGCCAGATGAACAGCAGCTGCTCTGGTAGGATCCCGCACTGGTAAAGCGCAGCTGCTCAGAGGGACGAAGGGTTCATGAAGGGGAGCAGCCTCAAAGAGTCAGTCATTTTAATGGCTTTACTTTCACCCCCCTCCCTGCAGTCATCTCATGTATAAATGTGTCTAATCTCCTGAGTCTGAGATTGTGTGTGTACCAACAGGTGGCCAGGCATGACAGTAGGGTGATTGCAGCTGCTGCTGCTAGGGCTGAGGGGAAGAACCATTAGCTACTTGAAAAGGCTATGCACAGCACTGGGAAACAATGGATCAAAAAAAAGAAGGGAGAAGAGAGGTGGTATAACTCCTGTAGTTCTCAGCTTCCCTGATCCACACCCCATCCTTTCTTCCCTTAGCTCAGACAAACTACCTGTAACCCCAGGGGTCCTTGCACTTCTATACTATGACACTAGAGGCCTTGGACTTTCATTTCTATGCCTTCTGATCTTGTAAATGACAATCATTGTCAGTCAGCCACACCCAATCCCAGAAACCTCATGTTTTCATCCTTCCTTCTATCGTGGTTCCAGAAACCATCTCCCAACTTCAACCCTGACCTCCAGGGGCATTGTTCTGACCCAGACCCCGAGAGCTCTAACTTTCACTCCCATGATTCTGATAATCCCAGAGGCATCAGGCAGCCTACTCTCCTCTTACCTATCTTGGAGGCTACATACCTGAAGGCTGTTCCCACATCCTCAGAGTTGTGAACTCATGAGTGCAGCCTGATGATGAGTTTAAGGTTTTATCTTTCCATTGAAAGTTCCATATCCTATTTATGCTAGGGTTAGGTCAGCAAGTTACAGGAGAAAGTCATCACTTGGTCTTCTGGTGACTGTCATTTTATAAATGCCTGAGGTAAATAAATAGATAAATTTATGTTTGTTTCATAACTCAAATCATATCACTGCATGTAACTAACCTGATCCATTTGCATGAAATCAGCCTCCTCTATGATTAATGGGTTTGTCTACACGTGCAATTAATTTGAAGCAATACACTCTGGAGCAGTTTGAGTTGACATAAGCTATTCTCAGGTGCAGCATGCACCCAGGACAGCAGCAATTTGATCTGGGGAGGAGCAGTTTACACCAGGGTCACTCCTGCCCTGGACTCCAGGTGGTGGCATTGGGTGGTGGAGGGGCTGGCTGGGGCACAAGGGTACTGAAAGTGTGGGGCTGTGTGGCTAGGTGGCAGGCAAGAGTCTGGCCCCCTGCTGGCTGGGCTGACTCGGCACAATTTACTCCCAAAGCATCTACACAAGCTTTTAATCACAATTAATTACTCGGCCATAAGATGGCACTGTACCCTACAGTACTATCTTATGGCAGTGTTAATTAGTTTACTGTAGTCTAATACTGTTGCATGTGTAGACGGTGACACTTTACTTTGCAGCTGATTAGTCTACTGCACAGTACAGCACATGTGTAGATGTGGCCAGTAACTCCATCTCTTCAGCTGATCACAGTTTCCACATGCTGCTTATCTTCTTCTGATACCACTGGTTGCACCATTCTGCTTGAAGGTCTCAAACTGTCATTACTGTCTTTTGCCTCCCACCCTACCTGGTTGTACTCCTATCTCTAAACCAGGGGTAGGCAAAATACAGCCTGTGGGCCAGATCCAGCCCACCAGGTGATTTCATTTGGTCCATAAATGTGTACCAATTAATTGTACCCTGTCCAACCCATGTGTCTCAGTCCCATCCTCATGCATGGGAGGGCCCCAGCCCTGGCCAACATGCACAGCTCCTGAGCAGGCTTGCTGCTGCCATTGCTGCAGCCGCCAGGTGACCTGTTCAGCTTCCCCAGCCTCCAGCAGCTGTTCCTCATGTCCTTGCTGCAGTGCTTGCTACAGGCACGAGGTAGGGAAGCGGAGGTGGGTGGTGGGGGAAGCTGCAACTGGGTGGGAGCATAAAGCATGAGGCTGGGGCTGGTGGAATGCAGAGCCTGGGGCCTGGGGCCCATGCCTACTGGGGTGATGGGAATACAGAGCTCAGGTGGGCAGGGTATGGGCATACGGGGTGCGAGGGGAAGTGGGGGAATTCCCACACACTCTCCCTCATGGTGCATAGCCCCTGCCACTGGTACCAGCAGCAGGCAGCAGGCCCTCAGGTTGCTCATGGCCATGCAGGTACAGCTGCCTGGTGGTACACAGCTCCAGCCAGTTCCAGGAGCTGGACATCTCGGCAAGGAGTGGAGCCAGGACAGTCTGCCTCTATCACGTGGGGCTCCTCATGACTCCTGTAGCTCCTGGGGTTCACGTGCTGCATGATGCAGCTAGCTGTCATCCCCACTTCCTGCCACCATGTGCAGCTCCCAGGACTCCACCAGGAAGCTGGGAGGGGGGCCCCCCCTCACTTCAGGCAGAGTTCTGAGAGCCATACATGGCAGTAGAGAGCAATGAATGCAGCCAGTTCCAAAGCGTGTGGCTTCCCTGCACTGGTGCAAGAGTCCTGGGAACTGTACATGAGCCACAGGAAGCCCTATGCCATAGAGGCAGGCCAGCCTGGCTCCACTCCTTGCTGCTTGCTTGCCATGTGCAACTCCTTGAACTGGCTGGAGCTGCATGCCACTGGGTGGCTGTGCCTGCAAGGGCCATGACCACCGCAAGAGCCTGCTTTCCGCTGCTGCTGCCGCCAGTGGCAGGAGCTGTGCACCATGGGGTGCACACCCCACAAACCCCACACAACCTCACCCTGCCCTCACAGCCCCCCACATATACACACATTCACACCCCCAACATATCTTACACCTCCCCCCACACATGGCCACACCCCCTCACAAACCCTCCACACTCCTGCATGCACAATATACAAAAGTAAAACTTTATTTTTGAGCTATTATATAATCACCTCTATATACACTGTGCAAACACACACAAATCAGGACAAAATATATATTTTTAAATGTAAATATGTTATAGTAGATGTTTGACTTTTAGTATATGATTTGTTTTTTTTCCACTTCTAAGATGGCAAACTCCCTCCCCGCCACCCCCCAAGTACTTCTAGAGACAAGGGGAGGGACTTCTGGTGGCAAAAGTCAGGGGTGAGGGGCAGGATTTTCCAGTCCCAAGATGCAGGCCAGAGGAAAGCACACCTGTCAAAGGGTGGGGCAGACAGGATCTTCACACCCTTCAAGCCCAGACACGATCCCTGCAGCCCTCAACAGCTCCAAAATTCATTAACCAGCCCTCCAGCCAAAATAATTGTCCACCCCTGCACTAAATGTTACTTCTGAGACATGGGAATGGTTTTTGATGAAGTCCCATAAGCTCTGTTCTTTCTCTTTTCTTTGTCTAGTCAATCTCCTTTCCTTTAAGTACAATGGGTGCAGAAAGAAGTGAAAATTTTTGCCCAATCTGACAACAGAAAGCAGCTAATAGCCAAAACCAAACACAAGTGCACAGCTGCAGACAGCTTCAAAAATGGCTGACCAGGTAAAAAATCTGATGACTCATTGCATAAGGGGTCAGATGAAGATGTTTCAAAACAGAGCATCTTCTGTAATTTCTGTCTGCACTGCCTGCCAGTCTTGAGCTGTTTTCAGAATGGGAGGGGGGAAAAGGAGTGGAAAGGGGTCGGTCTGGGGTTTTTCACCCCTGCTGGAGGGGGTGTATTGGAGCTCCCTGAGGTAGAGGGGAGAGTGCTCCAATTCACCCACCCCACTCTCCAGAGCCTGCTGGGGAACTGATGTGTTGTAGGTTGAGCAACAACACTAGGGACACTGCTGTGTTGAACTAACAGTTATTTATTATTATAACTCTGGAACCATATCCACGGTGGATCTTAAAAATTGCATCAGTAGATGTATGCAGATCTTATACTTGCTCTGACTTGACCCAGTCCAGTCCTGTGGAGAGAAAGGAACCAAGAATGCCTCTGCCTCCTCATGGCAGAGAACATGGAGTCCCCAGTGCTGTAAAACCACCACAAAGTAGAGTGAACCCTGCACTGCTGAACATGAGGGCTTTGGCCTTAAAGGTACAGTACAAGGAAAACACAATAAGACACAACACCCCTTCCCTCTACACAGAAGAGTCAGCCAACCATTTGGGAGGACTCCGCTTCCTCTATGGTCTTCCCATAGAACCGGACTCATTGAGGGGTTCAGCGGATGACGGCCCTGTCAGCCTATCTGGAGACTCAACGGTGATGCTTCCTTCTGACAGTGATGTCAAATGGTTTGCATTGATGGAAACAGGTAGGCACTTCTCTGATGAATCCATGTCTGTCAGTGGTGGATTGGTGCTTGGAGATTGCTCAGGTGTAGGGTTATCAGTAGGAGAATGCCCACGAAGTTGGTCCACATGATGTCTCCAAACTTGTCCATCATCAGTCTGGACTGTATATGATACAGGTCCTGTGGTGCTTACAATTTTAGATTGAACCCACTGTGGGCCTGTCCCATAGTTCTGAGCAAATACAGTCTCTTGTGAAATGAAAAGACATAAGGTACCAGATGTCAAGTCCAAATCCTTTTCTTTCCTAAACTGCATGTCCTTCACAAGGTCTGGGTTAACACAGTCAAGGCATGTCTTGAGACGACGACCCATAAGATGCTCTGATGGGCTGGACTCAATTGTAGGGCAAGGAATTACATGTTGAGCAAGCAGAAATCTGGCCAGTCTGGTAGGCCATTCTCCTACAATAATCCTTTTCAGTGCATCTTTTGTAGTCTGCACCATTCGCTCAGCTTGCCCATTGGCTTGTGGCCTGAGGGGTGCAATGGTAACAGTTTGAATGAGATTGCAGTTGGCAAAATCTTGCAACTCAGCTGAGGTGAATGCACTGCCATTATCAGAAATGATATTGTCAGGGATCCCATGGGTTGCAAACAGCTGACAGAGAGCTGTTATAGTGCCAGTTGATGTAAAAGTCAAGACAGTAATCACTTCAAGCGATTTTGAGTATGAGTCAACAACAATTCAGAAATTCTTACCTTGAAAAGGACAGGCAAAATCAGTGTTGATTTTTGTTGGGTTCCTTTGTCATTTCCCAAGGGAATACTGATGCCTTTGGTGGATTATGATGGGTTGCTTGACAAATGCTGCACTCCCTCACAACGCTTTGTATGTCATTGTCCATACCTGGCCACCATACATAACTTCTAGCCAGTGCTTTCATCCTCACAACGCCTGGCTGCACTGTGTGCAGCATTGTCAGTATGATTTGATGTCCTGCTTCAGGAATTACGACAGTATTTCCCCACAAGAGGCAACCCTTGTGTGCAGACAGCTCATGCTGACATGATGAAAATGGCGTGAATTCCTTGGCTGATTTGTCTGCAGGCCAGCCCCTCCACACCTAGTTGAAGACATGGGCAAAGATAGGGTCTTTTGCAGTCATCCTTGCTATCTGATCAGCTTGAAGAGGGGCTTCTAGCATGGATTCCAGCATGAGGACTTCTGCTGGTAGAGAAGTAGCACAATCAGGTATTTGTAGTGGTAGGTGGCTCAATGCATCAGCATTTGCAATCATTTTCCCAGGTTTGTACACGAATGTATAGTCATATGCATTTAGCATGATGGTCCAGAATTGCATATGAAGAGACAAAATAGGAGTTGGTTTGTCCATAGTAAAAATTCCAAGAAGGGGTTTGTGGTCCATTCAGATTTCGAATTTGTGGCCATAAACTTAACTGTGAAATTTTTTAACTCCTGCAATGATTGCCAATGCTTCTTTATCAATCTGTGCATAATTCCTCTCGGTTGAAGTCATTGTTCTTGACTAAAAAGCAATGGGTGCATCCGTGCCATCAGGCAATGTGTGACTGAGGGCAGCGCTAACACCAAATGGCAAGGCATCACAAGTAATGGACAGTGGCTTCTGCTCATCATAGTGAACAAGGACAGAGTCTGATGTCAGCAACTTCTTGATGCCCTGGAAGGCTTCATTGTGCTGGCAAATTCACTTCCACTGAACTCCTTTATCCAGTAAGCTATGAAGGGGCTCTGCTATGGTGGCTTTGTCTTTCAAGATGTGATAAAAGTTAAGAAGTCCTAAGAATGCTTGAAGATCCTGTCTGCATTTTGGTATAGGGGCATCACGTACTGCTTTTACCTTATCTGCAACTGGGTGAATGCCGAAACATCAATTTGATATCCCAGAAAGTTGATACTGGAAACTTCCAGTTGACATTTTTCTCTTTTTACTCTGATACCTGCTTTACTGAATTTCTGTAAAACTTCTCTGAGTCTCTCAGTGAGTTTCTCTCTGGACAGCCCCATGATCAACACATCATCAAAGTATGGAACAACCCTGGGAATTCCTGCTATCATTTTCTCCATGAACCGCTGGAAAATTCCTGATGCCACAGAAATTCCAACCTGGAGGCGCTTGACATGGAACGCTCCCTGGTGTGTAATTATTGTTTGGGCCTCAGCAGCCTTGTCATCCACTATCAATTGCTAATAGGCTTGAGCGAGGTCAAATTTGGCAAAAACTTTCCCTCCTGCAAGAACAGCTGGTAACTGGTTAATGGAAGGCATTGGGTGCGGGTCCTGCTTAAGTGCTTTATTAACAGTGCACTTGTAATCCCCACAGATGTGAACACTGCTGTTAGGTTTTAAAACAAAAACAATTGGTGTGGCCCAGCTTGTATGTATGATTGGCTATAGTACCCCTTGTGTGATAAACCAATCTAATTCTGCATCAATTTTTCACCGCAGTGTGAAAGGTACATTCCGAGCCTTCACAAAGACAGGAGCTATTGCAGGATCCATTTGAAATGTCACAGGTGAACCAGAGTAAGTTCCTAATTCCTCAGAGAATACCTAGGGAAACTCCCTTGCAAGCCTTTCCAGACTTTCTGTGCAAAGACTGTGTATGCCTTGAATACTGATTTCCAATGCTGAGAACCAATTTCTCCCCAGAAGACTTTTGTGGGAACCCTTAGTGACAATGAGGGGTAGACACTGTCTAACAGATCCATACTGGACATCGACACTGCAGCTACTCAGAGTTTCCACAGTCTGTCCATTGTAGTCATGCAGGTGACACTCAGGTTTCACTAACTTGGGGAGAGGGTGCCGAAACAACTGGAAGAATGTGTTTTCATCTATGAGGGATGCTCCTGAACCCAAGTCCGCTTCCATTTTGCACTTCATTTATTACTACAGTTGAAATCATCTCAGAACCTTGAGTTTTGACAACACCAACATTTTGAATCAAATATGGTTTTTGTACCTTAAGTTTTGGGGAGGACTCTAATCAGTGAGTGGACTGGGAGTGAATACATTTGCCACAATCTTTTTGTCTCCCGGAACTGGCCTTTGAGCGGCACACCCTCTCTATGGGGCCCTTCTTCTTGCAGGCGTAACACTCCACATTCCTAAACCTGCACTCCCTTCGTCTATGTTGGCCACCACAACTCAAATATGTCTGTGGATTAATTAGTTTATGTGGTGCTGTTGGTGAGGGTATAATCTGCTGAATTTGCTGGTGATGATCTTGATTCTTGATCTTTTTGGAGTAAGTGGACGTTGCTGGAGAACGCCTGGCGAATTTCTCTCATGCTATGGGATGCTGCTTCAGCTGCCAAGACTTATTCTTGTGCAGTAGCCAAGGTCAAATTTGGTTCAGAGAGCAGGTGACATTGGATTGCTTCATCTTGAGCCCCACAGATAAGACAGTCACGAAGTAGACCATCCAGGAGGTCCCCAAACTCACAAAATTCAGCAAGGCAACAGAGCTCAGCCAGGTAATCTGCTATGCCTTTGTTGGCCTTTTGGTTCTGTTTAAAAAAATGAAATCTCTGCAGGGTAACAGATGGCCTTGGGCAAAAATGTGCCTTTAGCAGGGCAATTAGTTCAGCATAAGACTTAGTGTTTGGTAAGGCAGGTGCTGTGAGGAAACAAACAATGGCAAATGTTTTGGCACCATAGATTGTCAGGAGGATCACAGGCTTCTGTCTGGGTTTTCTGCTTTGTTGGCTTCCAGGTGATAGGATAGCCTCTCAGCATAAGAGTCCCAAGAAGCCAGCTGGCTCACATCAAATTTTTCTGTGTGACCCAATGCAGCCATTTTAACTAACATCAGCCATATTAGACAGAAAAGGAAAAAAAGAAGAAGAAAAAACTTCCCTCTGATCACAAACACAGCCCGGTCTCAGAATGCTGTCCCACAATGTAGGGGTGTCATCTCAGCAAAAGATCCCATCCTTGTCACCAGATTCTAGACACTGCTGTGTTGAACTAACAGTTATTTATTATTATAACTCTCTGGAATCATATCCAGGGTGGATCTTAACAGTTGCATCAGTAGATGTATGCAGATCTTATAATTGCTCTGACTTGACTCAGTCCAGTCCTGTGGAGAGAGAGGAACCAAAAATACCTCTGGCTCCTCATGGCAGAGAATTTGGAGTCCCCAGTGTGCAAAACTGCCACAAAGTAAAGTGAACCCTGCGGTGTTGAACATGAGGGCTTTGGCCTTAAAGGCACAGTACAAGCAAAACACAATAAGACACAACAGGAATCCCTAGACCAAGCTCCCTCTGATCCCTTTCTGAAACAAGGTCAGAGTGGGATAGAGGAAGGGCCATCGCTAGGGAAAACCCACTGCAGGCTGTAGTCAACAGCTAGATTCCCCTCCCTTCTGGAACCAACAGTGAACTTCTGTTCATTCCAGGGGATCCTTGTAACTCAGACTGCTTCCTGAAAAGCAGTCAGTTACAGCAGGGAGCTGCACTTCTGTCCCTACCCAGTGTTTCACAGGTTAAATATCAGGCTTTGTACGTCAAGGCCATGGTGTTCAATTCTATTCTGAAGAAAGTAAGGAATCAGTGACATGCTCAAAGTAAATTGTGATGCATCTATTTTGGCCTTTTTTGCTTATGAGATGGGCTGACACACATAACAACTTCATTCTTTCGGTAGAGGCTGTATGCAAGCCCAAATACAGCAAGTGTCTCATTCTAACCTGCAAAATATTAAAGTGTGGATCACTATGGCCAAATCCTTGACTGAGAGGAGGAAGATACAAGACTAGCTTGCAGGAAACAAGAGAAAGGATTCCTTTAAAGCTGGCAGTGTTTGTGTTTAGGACCAATAATGAATATGGCATGGCTTAAAAACATCTTCCACTCTGATGCACTCTATTGTTGATGAAGTTAATATATTAGCCTATGTTTCTTACCAGTATCACTTATTTTTTCTGGGTCTATATTAAGCCAGCTGCTCTTTACCCATCCAGCAATCTCTCCTGGACATTTGAACATCATGGTGATTGTGGAGGCTGCATCAGTAGAGAAGGAAATATACTGTTGTGTGACAAACAACTTGCCTGTACTGGAAGTTCTGATTGTGTTCCAACCACATGTCCCTTCTAACCTGATGTGAAGATGCTGTGCACCTAAACATCCCTTAATGCAGGTTTGGGTATGTGCACACAGGCTGTTCCACAGAGTGATACAGTAGAGCTGCACAACAGACTAGGTGGAGGTGCCTGTGTTGCATGATCACTGCTGATTACTCCAGAAAGAAAGGGCTTCCCTGCCACCCGCTGCCCTCACCTATATTGACTAGGCGCTACGTGAGGGAAGTCCCTGCTTACTGGTATCCCCCAGCCCTCCAGAGCTAGTTGTGGGGCTTCTGCCTCAGCAGGCCCCACAGCAATGCCCACCTCACCATCTTAGCAGGCTCAGGGATACCAAGTTGGTCCACCTCCAAACAGCCTATTGCCACCAGCTCTACATGCTAGATCATCACATCTTCACATCCCACCTTGAAAACAAGTGGTGAGACACCGTAGGCAAGGATGGGGGTGAGGGTCCCTGGTGTACAAGTTTGTATTATACTCTGATGCCAAGAGCCACTGGGGACCTCAGCTGGTGGTTCCTTCATGGAGCCATTGCCATGGGCATGGTATCTGGCATGCTTTATGGACACCTCCACCACCTGCCCCTTTTGGTAACAGAGGGAGAACCTGACACACATCTACCTTGAATGCGCCAGGCTGCAGCCCCTTTTCTGCCTTCTCCAGAACCTTCTGCTGAAGTTCTGGCTGCACTTCTCTCCACACCGTTTTTGTTATACACTCCCCATCCACGAAGCTAGCAAGCCCTGGGACCTCTCAGTCAGCATCTTCCTGGTTCTGTCCAAGTTGGCCATCTGCAAGACCAGGAAGAAGGCTCTGTCCAGGAGGAACTTGGGTAAGTATGAGGCTGTTTTCCTGTCACTCCTTTGCTCATGGCTCCAGATAATTTCACTGGTCAGCTTCCACGGCATCTGGCTACAATGAGTTCCTTTGTTCCCACATTTTAATTACACTGTATGTGAAAAGAGCTTCCTTTTGTTAGTTTTAAACTTACTATCTACTACTTTCATTTTATGACCCCTAGTTCTTATATTGTGAGAGATAGCAAATCATAAATCCCTATTTACTTTCTCTTCGCCACTTGGTATTTTCAGAGATTTCATATACATTAGGGGCTGGAAGGGACCTTGTGAGTTCATTTTATAAACCTGTTTCCTGTTCCCCCTCAAGCATCTGTTTTCTAAACTGAATAGGCCTAGCCTTTTTAGTTTCTCCTCATATGAAAGACCCTCCATACCAATGATCATCCTTATTCCTCTGCTGCCTTCTCCAGACCTTCTCCAGTTCTTCTATATCTTTTTTAAGTTGGGGACAAAAACTGTGCATAGTATTCACTCATGCATGATGGATTTATAAAGGGGCATAATGATACGTTCTGTTTTGTTTACAATTCCCTTAATAATCCCTAAGATGTTGTTTGCTGTTCTGATGGCTGCTGAGCGCTGAGCTGACATTTTTAGGGAGCTGTCTACAGTGACTCCCAGATCTCTTTCCTGTGTGGTAACAGCTAATGTAGAGCCCATCATAGTGCAGGTTATTTGTGCCCATGTACATCACTTTACAGGTATCTACATTAAGTTTCATCTGACATTTAGTTGCCCATTCACTCAAAAACAGTCCCCAGCTGCTGTTGCCATGATCCAGTCTGCACACACAGGCTATTGTTCCTATAACATGATATCTACACTCCAGGCTGCTGCTCCTAGGCCGTGGACTCTATGAGGGAGGGCATGCCATTCACATACTTCTACAAAATTGGCACCCAGGGTAGGTGCCCTGTTTGTCTCCCTCCCACTTATTCTACAGCAACTGAATGTTGCTAAGAAAGATGTTATTCACTGTCATTAAGAAGGAACAACCACAAAGAGGTGAACAGGTTTTTGATGTCAGGAACTTCTAACCAGTATCATAGATTGTACATCATACTGTCACAGTAGTAGCATTACATAAATATACTCTACCTCCACTTAATCAGTCCTCAGATTATTTCATAAAACAACAAACTTCCCTTGTATGTAATTTATGTAGCTTTCACCAGCAGCAGATCCAGGATTTGGCAAAGGGGACTGTTGGAACAGCAACACACTGTAAAGATGCATCCCCCTGCTCTGAGCCTCTTCCTTCCACACACCAGCACAGGCAGACTACACCACTGGAGCCTCTATGGTCTTTTTAAAAGGCCCCAAGGCATGTAAGAATCCCTTCCTCCCTTCCCCTCCATGCTCAAAGGCATGCCCTCTCCCTTCCCCACTCCCCTTCTCCCCTGCCTGCACTGCTGCTTTTCCCCACTGTCCAGGGGCATAAGGAGGTTTCAAAGTTGCTTCTGCCTGCTCCAGCTGGGCTGCACAGAGGCTGGGCTCAGTTGGAAACAGCGACAACAACAATGGGCAGGGAAGTTTCCCTTCACAGTGAGGGACTGGACAGAGTGGAGAAACCCATCCCCTGCCTATGGCTGCTGCTGTCTGTGTTGTCAGCTGAGTCTAGTCCCCATCCCAGTGGTGATGGTGGCAGAGAGGAGTGGCAGGGCAGCCTGGGTGTGGGCTCCAGGTGGTTGTAGCAAGAAGGGCCCAGCAGTGGTGATGGGGTGGAGTGCACTTTTCCCCCGGGCCCAGCAGCAGCTTCTGCCCAACCACTGCTCAGCATGGGCAGGTGGTCTGGAGCAGGCATGGGGTGGGCCAGGTGATGATTCCAGCTAGTCCAGAGCTGGTCTGCTGTGTCAAGCCAAGTCCGGAGTGGGTACGGGGTGGACCGGAGTCAGGGCTTCGCGTGTGTGTCCCCAGCAGTACTGTGGGGCTGGGACCAGCAGCGGTGGCAGCCAGAAGGAGCCACAGCCACCTCCTGGGCTGCCTAGAAAGGTGGGATGGGCCAGGGCTGGGGCTGGGGCTATGCACTGTTGGTGGTGGCAGGGAGGGGCCACAGGGTATGTGGGCTCCAGAATGTTGTTGGCAGGGGGGAGAATGCTGACTGGTCTGCAGCAGCTTCCCAAAACTGCCTATGTGGCCTGTGGGCCCAAATAAATGCCTACCCCTGATCTATGGTGAAATATGCATTATTACCATTTGATAGCGTCTCTTGTGATTTGTTGTGATTGGTGCTTTCGGCTACTAGCTTTTCCCAGGCTAACATCAAAGATCTATGAGGCTCTTGTTGGGATAATAATGTTCAGTTCATTAACATAAAAATAATTTTAGGTGATCACTCTATTAAAGATATCTAATATTGGAGCAATCAGATAAGAAGGACTAGAAATCACTTGCATCTAGCTTATCTCAGACAGTAAAATGTGGTACAACTAGTCATTTAACATGTTTTGCTCTTTTTGGCCATATCTCTAGCCTTGTGGCCTCCCCACAAGGCCCATTCAGTTTCTATTAGCTTCTTCCCAGGGCAGGCCTTTCCTTAGGCCTACTTGTAGTCTTTCTGCTGGGCTTTTCCTAACCCAAGCCTCTCTTAGATCTACTCCATCTCAGCTGGGCTTTTCCCACAATAGGGAGGGGAGAACTACTTCCTTCTTTGTAATGGGAAATGAAGGGAGCCTCCTTACAGAAGGCAACTGCAAGTCCCCCGGGCACATGGCAAAACCAAAAGTGTCCATCATCAATCATTCCTAAAGCTTATAAATCCCACATACTTGCATGCGAAGACACCTCATAAGATACACTTTTTAGATCCAAGTTAGTGGAAATTTCACTGTCTCCATTCAAAGCTTACAGACTGTCATCTGTGGATCATGGGTGGTCTATGCAGCATTTGCTGATGGTCTGTGGAGAGTTGGCTGCTTACATTGTGTTGGCTCTCTTCCTTGTTTTACTTAATAATTGAATTAAAGGGAAAATAATACATCAATGTTTTCCTTCATATTACTTTTTCATGTAAGCTGTTGTTCTGCTTGTCACAGGATCATGAATGAAAGCCAAGACAGTCCATGTAGTCATTAATGGGAGGGGAAACATCCAAAAGTCACTTTCTGAGCTCACAATCCCTCCTTTTAAAAGGGCAGAACCCCCCTGCCTCATCTCATTTAACTAATTTTCATAGTGTGCATTGAAGGATGGGTAGTAGTGGGTGGAAATAACAATTTAAACATTTCAAATGCTTATGAAGCATTTCAAAGGGCCAGCTATAGAGATGTACATGCACTTTGAAACATTCCAAAAGTGGGTGAAACACTTCAAATTATTACCTGTTAAAATGAGGAACTCTTTGGAAGAGTTTCGGTTTTTGTTACTTGTGCATGGAGACCCAGTCTGAATTTCTGTTTCTCTGCCCAAAGACTTGAGTTAAAGCGAGAGCCAGGTTGGAACTGGAACCAGGCTTATTCACTGCCAGACCCTGAGGGCTGCCAACTCATGGGGCCTTCTAGATCCCTGCTGAC